AAGGGAGACTATTTGCAGAGATGTTGTTAAACTCATCAGGGAAGCCTCTTCCACAGTTCCTATTTGTGAATAAGTTTGAAGATAAACCTTCGATTCTCGTGAATCCACATATAACTATTAGAGCATTCATCCATTTAGTCTACGTATTTGCCATGTTCGATGCTTTAAGAAAACATATCCTGCATTTCCATATTTCCTGGAGCAGAGGCGTCCCCATCGGTGGTCCAGAAAATTCAAGATGGCAGCTGCCATCCTCATACCATTCAAGTCCTGCCCCTTTTTAAAAAGGGGCAGGGCTTTTCTTGTCGGGGTGGCCATCTTGACTTTTTTAACACACACTCGTCCTGCGGATGTCTCTACGCTTGGAGGAACAGGAAACTCTGTTTGTGAATTCCCGTCAGGAAACCCACAACGTTTGACTGGGAAGCGCGACAAGTCTAACCTTTATTCTGGCGCGACTTATAGCATCGAGATTTCTTCCTGGATGTTTGCGGAGCCAAGTCAAATAACCGAAGGCCAATGAATGGTTTAGTGCCGAGTCCCTTGCTTCCCCTTGAGGATGACCAACACCTGCCTTTGCGCTATCGAATATCATGGCTTTGCTTCAGTCTTCTGCGTTTTGATTTCCTGCAAAAATAATATGTTCTTTTGCTGCAGCCTATCTAGTCGATACCCTCCTAACCCCTGGGGGGTGAGCCTTGAGCCCCTGACCTTTGCGGTGTCTGTGCTGCAAAGAAGAGGGGGCATATCTCGAATTCTTGAAAGCCTACTTTGCTCCCCAAGGTCCTCTGATTTTGAAACGTGAGATGGAGAGAGACGCGAGGCAGCCAATCTATCTTCTCTTGGAGAAGACGTTCTAACGTCTGGGCTGCCGAGAGAGCCAAAGCTTGCCAGTTTTCTGCTGTCCGAGCAACCAGGGAAGACAATCCTCCCCTCTCCATCTGTACAGGAGTGGCTGTTTTCACACAATGTGCTTAACATCCCTACCCAAAGAACCCATTTGGGGGGGTCCCACAAAACATGCAACTATAAACAAGCCCAATAGACTGGATTTGCCTGGGACAGGATGTCTCAAGGTTATCCGTCACATGAGCCCAGCTTGGTCCCCTCCTGTAAGACCTAAATTACAACTCAACTCCTTCCCTTTCTTCTAGGACAGTGTTTCTCAACCTTAGGAACTTTAAGATGTGTGGACTTCAACTCCCAGAATT